TGTTTTGCACCCCAGCATGAGTTGGAAGGTAAATGCTGACAAAATGACACAAATGCAGATTTAACGGAAGGCACCCATGGCTTGTGTGTTGTTTACCACAATACAGGCCACAAATATATCAAGTTCTACATAGTGTGGCTGCATGAATAACACTGGATGACCTGGTTTGAAAATACTTCAGTAATTGTAATATTTAATATTCAGTAATATTTAAGTATTATTTTGTACTGTAAGATTTGTACTTGACTAAAGTATCAGTGACACGGAATAGTTGGATTCTTACTCAATTACATTTCCAAGACAAAACCTTGTATTTCTTATATTTTTATTTAGACCTTCGAAGTACTCGCTACGAATCTCAGTCGGCAGGAGATTTTTCTTTTTCTTGTGTCAGCTGTTGAGTTCCCTTGCATTTGAATATATTGTTTTTTATCAAAAAATCTATGTAAAATAAGACTCCAGAAACTGTGCTAACTAATTAGCCTCTTAGCCACACACCACAAAATAAACTTTGAATGTATTTGTTGAAACATTTACTGTTTACTTTTGTGAATTTTGAATATAGACACTTTTTACTGCATACAATTTCTGCATATCATAAATCAATGAGATGTAAAGTCATTTAGAGTGGTTTGCTGTGAAACAGTTTGTAGAGAAACTTACAGACTCATATCTTCTTTACAGTGGTGGAGATAGGAACCAGGGGTCATGTTGAAAATTACAAATATAGCCATTTTATTTACTATTCAAAAATGACCAATGAACCTTCGTGTTTCTTCTGAATTTTTATACGTAATCTTGATAATGATAAAGTGATAAATCTGAAAAAGTAAGTTTCCTTTTACTATTTTGCTATACAACACCTAGCATATACCACTCCATCCTGCATGTATAAAATACACCAAAATCTTAATGCAAAATTATCATGCAATGTCTCAGGCAACAGACACTCTGTTCCTGACCACTTTTTTGGGATGAAGCTTTTAGTGGGAATAAACGCTTCAGATGTCTGGTTCCTATCACCACCACTGTAATAAATTCTGACTCAGATGGCAGCATGTCATATCAATCCACCCCAATGACTTTGTTTACATCCTATTTGCTTAATTATGCAGCAATTTAGAATAAATGGTGTAAGTTCTCTATAAGTATGGTTTCTCTGCCGCTGTGGATTACCATGGTAATTCAGTTCTACCTTCCTTTATAGTGCGTGAATGCAATTAGGGTCAGTCATAAAGATGCAAAAAATAAAATTTCATTGGATTTCAGTGGATCGTCCCCAGTCACTCACTGACTGAATGCCTGGCTCACTAACGGACTAACTGACTGAACGACTGGCTCACTGACTGACTTACTTACTGAATGACTGACTTACTGACTGAATGACTGGCTCATTGACTAAATGGCATACTCAATAACTTGTTTACTTAATGAATTATTTACTGACTGAAATTACTGATTTATTGGCTGACTGCATCAGCACAACTAACTGACTGACTGATTGGCTCATTAAAGGATTTACTGACAGAATGACTAGCTCACTAAAGGACATACTGACTGACTGACTGGCTCACTAAAGGACTTACTGATTAAAATCCTGGCTCACTAACAGACTTACTGACTGGCTTACTGAATGAGTGACTCACTGACTGTGTGACTGATTGACTGACTCATTGGCTCAATAACTGAATCACTGAAAGACTGGCTCACTAATTGAATGACTGACTTACTGACTAAATAACTGACTGACTGACTCACTGACTTAATGACTGATTGACTTGCTGACTGACTCAGTAACTGAATGACTGACTCTCAGACTAAATGACTGGCTCACTGGCTGAATGACTGACTGACTGACTCACGGACTGAATAACTGACTGAATGACTGACTCAGTAACTGAATGACTGACTCTCAGACTAAATGACCAGCTCACTGGCTGAATGACTTACTGACTGAATGACTGGCTCAGTTTTTACTTAATGATGGACTCTGACGTTACTGATTCACTGACTGTGTCACTGAATGACTCACTGAATGACTCACTGCTTTATTGCACAGGTTATTTTGTGCCATTAGGAAGCTCCAAATGAAGCTCTTTGAGTACCAAGCTAAACCTAACCATTTAAGTGTCTGCATGAACTAGCTAAGGGTCTTGATGTACTGTAATTGCTCGCAGTTTGCACACATTAGGCAGAACATTGAAACATGCTGTACTGTAGAGAAATGCAATCTTCTACATGGGTGGTGTATGAAGCACTTAGGTAGTAATTACCTCCAAGTGTAAAGCATGTTCTTGTGTAAGGAGATTGTACTTTCTTGGTCTGCTATTATCTCGCCAGCAGGTGGCAGTAAAACACAGCTTGGTGGTGGATGTTGACCTATCACAGAGCCACTCTGAGGCCTGATCATGACGTGAAGGAACATTCACAAGGGCCAGTGCAGGTATGTAGGAAAGAACAGGCAAGGAAATGATGACCACACTTGTGTAAGAGTTTAAGCATTGATAAGGCACAATTATTTACTGCAAAATACCAAAACATCTTTCATGAGATCACAAAAAAACTAAGCTACAGATTAGCTCTTGAATGTAAAATAACAGTTTAGATATAAGCTATAAATGGCAAGAACAGAAAATATTCATCCAAAAGCGCTACTGCTTGGAATGGTCTAAACACAAAAGCAGCAAATTAAAGACCAAAAACGCAGCTTGATAAGACGAACGCAGCGAGAGTGACAATACCCTCATTTATCATTACCACAATCACAAACCTACTAATTAAAACGTCTTATGCAAATATGTTTTTACAAGAGCAAAATTACCCGTTGAAAGCTCTCTTCAAAACAGGGTGGTAGGCACAAGTGATATAAATTATGATACTGTAGGGCTACTACAGTAATCAGTTTAAGTTTACAGTAATAATACATCTCAAGGCACACTGGAAATCAATCAGGCTGAACACGAAAACATAAACACAAACATAAACACTTATTTGAAATGTTCAACGATGCTGTGGAACCCTAATCTTGTAGTGCTTCATTAGAAACAATTGGCAAAAATTGGCATTAATCAGTTGACCTATTCATGCTCCGCCCACAAACCCCTTCTAAATAGTGAATTCAGCTACTTAGTGAAATCTCCATAGAAAAGCACTGTCAACCGAATGGGATGCTCTGGAGCAGCTGCACACGAGCCTAAGATAACAATAACCAATGCCAAGTGTTGGCAAGAGGGTTATAAAGCCCCCCAGCACTGGTCTGTGAAGCTACAGCATTCTCTAGAGTAATGGAGCTCCATCCAATACCTGACCTAGATCTGTCCAAAACTGCCTGTAATCATCCAACATCAGTATCTGATCTCACTAATGCTCTTGTGAATGAATGCAACCAAATACTCACAACAATGTTCTAATATCTACTGCAAAGTCTTCCCAGAAGAGAAGAGAATCTTCTTGATTTCAGAAGAAGTGTTGGATGAGCAGGTGTCTACAAACTTTTAAACATTTAGGGGCAGATTTACAAATTTACTGATTATCGTCAATATATCGACACTTTGCGCTTGTGGGGGAGGCCAATTCCGTGGGTTATCTACTAAGAGATTTTATGCAAACAAACACAGGCGCAATTTCGTGGTGACCATGACCAGCGCAGTATATCCACACCTTTGTCCCACGTGGTTTTTGTATGAAAGCCTGTTTCAGCCAAGCAGGCGAAAAAAAGATTTTTATCCTTCTCTGATTCTGGTTAAAACTGTGACTCATTAGGTTGTAATAATCATTCGTTTTTCTTGAGATTTTGACATAGTACGTCAAAATAGTGACTAAGTCAAGAAACAAGTCATAATTCTGAGAAAATAACACATTAGTTGAACAAAATGTGTCATTAATTGGAGAAAATAAGTGTTTGCTTTGACTTTCTGTTTCAAAACACCTGTTCATTTTTGTCTGTTGTGATGAGCCGAACTTGATGAGCTGAAAAGAAATCCCCATTTATTTTTACTGCAGGCATAGTGCTTATTTGGAAACTGCATCATCTGGAATCTGTGGTAAGCATAAACTTTTAGCTACGTGCAGCGCATCAAAAGCTGAGACATTTACTACAGAATCCACAGCGAATCCACAATGAATGACTGGCTTAGGTAAAGCAGAGACTGCACAGCCAACTGAGTGGTGTGAAGAAGAAACTGTTCATTATTACTGAGGCAAAACCTGCTTTAATTACTCTCTGTTGAGAGTAAAATTTGCCCAGAGTTTTAGGAAATTACAGAATAAAATATTATTTTTCAAGAAGAACGCATCTGTGGGCGGAGCATGGATAGATCCATTAAAAAATGTCACTGTCTGAAACAGCAGCGGAAGACGAGAGGATTCTAAAAGGGTGACGTCTAAGGTTGAAACATTATTAATCTCAGAAAAGATCGACTGACTCTTACACTTACTTTTTTGCCCTTCAAGTACACACACCTTTATCATTCTGCGTTAAAACCAACTCTCACTCCTTTCTCATCATTTATCCTTCTGCCAACTTCCATCTCTTCTTCTCTCTGTCTCTTTCATTAGTAATGGTACCTTACTGTTTCTTACTTTGAATTGGTCTGCCTGGCTCCTTTTCTCTTTCCATCTCTCTCTCGCTTTCTCTCTCCCTCTTAATCCAATTAAATTCAGTCAGTTTTAATGGCATGACCATGCCAGGGCATCACTCTCTCTCTCTTCCAGTGTAGAGTTCTGTTTTCTCTGCTTTCAACGTTTTGGTTTTCTGGGTTTTGTTGTTAGATCAGAATCTCCACCAGGTCAGAGTCCGGCAGCCTGATCTTCTGCCCCGAAGCTGGTACAGCTGGATACTCTGGAGGCTTTGTCTGAGTGGGTAGAGAATCTGCACAAACACACACACACACACACACACACACACACACACACACACACACACACATACACACATACAGAAATGAGTCAAACTCTGCAAATACTGCATTTATTCTAGAAATAATAAACAGCATGTTATGAATAAAGCCTCAGTTATCCATTTTTCAGAAAAAAATGATGAGGAGAAATATCCATCTGTGCAAAATTTGCAAGTAAAGAAGCTGCTGGTGATTTCAGAACAATGGACTGACCACCCCAGAGTCCAGACCTCAACATTCCTGAATGTGTTTGGGATTACTTGTATCATGATGTGCAGAAACTACAACCGACCTCTAAGACTGAACTTAAAAAAATGTCCTGGGGATTTCTTTGAAAAACTGGAAGCTGTAATAAAGGCAAAAGTGGAAACACTAAATACTTCTAACATTTGATATTATATTTAGTTGTTGGGGCTTGTGTATAATTTTTCTGTTAAATATGTTTTCTGCTTTCTTTCTGACACTGAAAAAATGTAAGTTAAATAAATGAAGGGTAGATTTTGACTGTTGCACAGTACCGTACTTCTGTGATCACCAAATTCTTCACTTAGAAACGTAGTCACTCTACATTTTTGGTGTCTGCAAATGTGCTTCTTCAGTTTTGCACTGAAGCTATGTGGGTAATGTAGGCAACATCCAATAGAAACTTTCACTTCACCAATTAGCATTGTGCAAACTGCATAAACTGCTTAAACCTTGTTGAGCTGTTAAGGAATCTCAAATAGAGTTGATTGTGTACTGTCTGACACTGTATGACACACTGTTCTCTAAAAAAAGGACAAAAGTATGTAGCATGGCTGAAAAACAGTAGCAGCCATCATCTAGCCTATTTTTATGCATATAATACACCTGAGTCACATGTTGTACTTGTACTATACTATCATTGTACTGTTGTTGTGTTAGCTCATAGCAAACATATTAGCTAGGGGCTAACTTGTTAGATTGGGGCACTAATTTGGTGTTTCTATGCTGCATGGAAACCAGTCCAAACAGACACGGTTAAACTCTATTGCACCATTTAAAAGTTTCAAATGCGGTACTTTCCTAACATCGAATGTTCTAATAAACTGAAATGCGACACACTGACATTAACATGAATCATTATTATAATCTGATCACAGTATGTTATTCAGTATGATGCCAATCAGTGGGGCATAAGCTTCCATTTGCTAGTTGAAACCATATGTTCAACATATGGTTACAGTATGAGAAGGGAGTGACTTTAAGAGTGGAGAGAAATTTGAGAACTTGGGCTGGAGTTCTGGTTGTCTTCTGCTTTGAAGTAGAAAGCCAGACCCCCCCTTTAGACGAGAAGAGGTAAGACTGAGTGTTAAGAATGAGGAACAGGGAGGAGATGGGGGGCTGGAGGGCTGGGAAAACTTTTGTCACAGGAAACAGATTAGAGAGGCAGAGATGGAAATTTTTATGACGTTAGATTGAAAGGAGGAAGAGCTTCGGGCGTGGTTCTCCTCCAAAACCTTGGTTATTTCACAGCTATAAATGACGTGTTCGCTTCTTTAGCCTCACAGCTCTCCGCAAAACTAAAGAAGAAAACTTCAGCCGTGAATGATGAACTATGGGGGAAACCTTTTTAGCTAATATATTGCTTTCATATGCTGAAGATGAGAAGCTAAAGGGAATGTGCTTGTTCTCTCTCTCTCCCTCTCTCTCACTTCTCACCTGTCTTCCCTGACTTAGCTCGGCCTGTAGGGGGCGTGGTTCTGAGGATTTCGGGGTTCCGCCCCATTTGGGTGCTGCTGTCTCTGCTGGCTGATTTAGAATGGAGGGAGAGCAGAGGAGTGGAGGGCAGAGAGGAGGAGAGCGGAGGTGGCAGCGGAGGGAGGGTAGAGGGGAGGGGAAGAGTGGCAGAGGAAGATGAGAGAGGGAGAGAGCAGGACAAGAGAGGGAGAGTGGAGGACGAGGGCAGAGGGAACGAGGGAGCGAGGGAGGAGGAGAGAGAAGGCGGGAGGGAAGATGAGAGAGAGGGAGCGAGGGATGAAGAGAGGGAGGGAGGCAGAGATGAAAGGGAGGCAGAGAAAGAAGGGACGGCGGGAGGAAGATGCTCCATGCTTTCTTTCCCCAGCAGCACACCTGCAAATAAACAATTGCAGTAATTACAATGGCATCACAATGACATCAATGGTATAGGATAAAAAGGCACAGGCTTTTATTTTGGCAAATATTATCTCAAATATTCGAATGTTCTGCACAAATAAGAAAAGCTCAAGATCTGTTTCAGTTTAATGACTGAATGAAAGAATTTTTATTTATCTATTTATTTATTTATTTATTTATCATTATTAAAATTATTATTATTTACTGTTAATTTACTTCTTTTGCATGATTGCTAAATCTATTATTTGTTTTTATTTATACTTTTTATGTAAAACTTGAATACTACAAATTAATGAGTAAACATTACCACTGAACAATTACTGTCACAGCAAGTAACATAACATGCTAATCAGAGGGATCCTGCCCAATCTAACAACACTGACCAGGTTGCTGAGACTGTTATAACGTGTCAGTGAGAAGCGGTACAGGAGTGCAGAGGAAACGGCTTCTTTTAAACCATAATATCTTAATGTTATAATATTATGTTATGATTAATAATTAATGTTATGATTAATCATCAGCTAATAACGGCTGGTTATTGGTCAAAACAATTTGCTAGAAGTCGCATCTCTACCCATGACTATTCCCAAGAAATGAGCTTTGGCAGGAAAGGACCGCTTAAGCTAACCATAAACAACTGTTTTTTGTGCAACGTGCAGAGATTCTCCATAGCTGTGATTCTAATGTGTCCTACCACTGACCTGCTAGCATTCAGCTTCATAAACAAGACTGGAATAAAAAATGCATAAAAACGCACATTTTTATGAACACGGGTAAGAAAAACCCTGGTTATCCGATTGGCTTTTCTCTTTTCAATTATTTAATTAATACATTTTATCAAATATTAGTTCAGCCCAGTCTGTGTGTACAATTATGTATGTGTGTGAGTGTGTTTGTGTACTCACTAGCGCTCCCCTTCCAGCTCTGCAGTTCTCCTCTCTCTGTGCGTGATGTTTGGCGGGAATGGAGGCCTGTTGCTATGGCGATGGAGGGTGTAGAGCGGGCGGGGCGTAAGGGGGCGGAGTCTCTGCGGGAACGCTGTTGCAGGACTTTAATCATTGCATCCTTCTCTAAAAGCTGAGCATGCAGATCTTTCATCCTACACACACACCCAAACACATGCACACACACACACACACAGAGAGAAGGGAACAAGATTAAACATGAGCATTTCATATAAGTGTAGGGTAGAACTGTAGTTTCTGGGGGGTCTCTGTTTATACACTGCAGGCCAAAAGTTTGAAAGAACCTTTAACTTTATAAAAATAAACATGAACATTTTATTTTTTCCCAAGCTATCAGTAATACAGTTATAAGCCATGGGAAAATTACATGTTTTGTTGATATGAAATTAAGCACATTTTCTACAGGAAACACTTAAATACAACATCTTTCTGCAATTTTTAGTGCAGTTTCTTCAGTTTAATATATTGGACTTTATCATAGGCTGCATCATGTTTTCATTTATCCCCAAAGTGTTTAATTCAACAAATAAACAGTAGTTGTGCATAAAACTGTGCAGAAGTGTGTTCTCTGTAGTGGATGTGTACTTACTTTAATGTAATTATACCAGAGGTGCCGAACTTCTGCATACAACAGAATATTTATGAACGCAGAACAGGTTTGTTACTAAAGGTGTGCAGCAATAGTGACTGGTTATTCATAAGTTCAGTTAATGCTGATTCTAATGCAGAGTTTTATCGCAGTTCTAACCAGATTGTCCCTTTTACCCTTTAACGAAAATAGCTGGCACTGTTAAAGGATGGCCTGTTAATCCCACACACTATGTACATACGACTGATCTCGCATTAAATGTCAACACTTGCAGTGTAACGCTGTGAACCATCATGGCAGACGCTGCTCATCTACTAATTGATGACCACAGCACTCATTAGCTTGTTAGGCTCAACGCTGAGATGTAACTATATTAATGTACAATGAACTTTTATGCGCCGTCAACACGTGAGAAGTTAAGAACTTTTGTCAACGTTTTCTATTGAATTTAGTTGTTACATCCCTGTCACAGTTTCCCAGTCCTGGCTTTTTTATCCTCCCATGCCTCCCTATTATTCCCACTTTGTTTATTTTTGCTTATGCTATAGTAATATTATGTATAATAGTATGTTATATATTTTTTTTTTGTATTCGTTTAATAAATACCTTAATAAATAACTTGCACATACATCCTGTATTAACACTTCCACTGTCAGACAGAAGACTGGACCAACTAAAACATGAATACAGCAAGTTTGTTTGGGACTCAGTAGTGGCTCTTTGAGGACAACAAAGCTCCTGCCTGCAGCTGCCTCTGTGCTCCTTCCCGCAGATAAAGGTTCAGCCACCCTTGTGCTCCTGCCCCTAGGAGAATGTCTAGCCATCCCTGTGTTCCTGCCCATGGATGAAAGTCCAGCCACCCTGTGTTCCTGCCCATGGATGAAAGTCCAGCCACCCTGTGTTCCTGCCTATAGGTGAATCTAGCCATCCCTGTGCTCCTGCCCTCGGATTAAAGTGCAAAAAATCCTATGATCCTGCACGCAGATTAAAATCCTTCGGCTTTGCCTTTGTTTTGCGCCTTGGAGGCTACACGCTAGCAGGGGTGTGAGTTCTGTCTCGGCTTCCCTGTCCTGGCTGCCCCCTCTCTCCTGTATCCTCCAGTGTCTCCTCCCTAGACCTGCCTTGGTAATAGTGTGTAGGGCTGAACGTATCATTCTTTTTATATATCGAAGTTGCGATTTGAAAGAGTTGCAATTTTCATTAAATTCTAGATTAATTAAAGCTGTCTTAAGAAATGAAAACCAATAACGCAGAGCTCATCAACGGGCAGTCTTACATACTACATTCTGTGAAAAAACACAGGTCTTCTTGGGAAAAAATCATTGAGCTTAATTTACAGAAATTAACTGCATTTAAATCGCAATATGGGTCAGAAAATTTACAGTTTGATATTTTTCAAATCGTTCAGCCCTACCTGTGTGTACTTTGTTGGCCCTCCTTTCTGAAATTGTGGAACAAACTTCTTTAGTTAAACTAGATGGCAATAAATATGTTGTGTTCGCTGTTGGAAAATTGACTTAATTGCATTTTATTCTTCAAATAAAATCATCATTCAATATTATACTTTTGGCCTGTAGTATATGTTTTTGTGTATGTGTCGAGGTGAGTGCAACTTGTGTGTGTCTGTGTGTGTGTGTGTGTGTGTGTTTGTGTGTGTACCTGGTCTCGATGTCCTGACACCGGCGGCTGTGTGTTTTATCATCTCCTTCATGTTGCCATAGACAACCATCACTGTAACTGCCACTGCGAGAATGCTGGATAATGGTTGTGTCCCTAAATAAACACACACACATGCACACATTTTAGTATTTCACACCCATGTTTTTGCCAAGCTCATTTGCATTTCTGCTTCACACTTACTCATCCATTAGCTAAACACATCATCAGGAAGACGTGTCTGGAACACAAACCTTCTAATCTGCTTTAATGAAAATAATGAAATCTGACACCTTTGAATGGTAGTTTGGTTTGGTTCTGGGTCAGTGTTGTCCATAAGTATTTGGACAACAGCGACACAGTCGGTGTGCAAACAACACATGAAGAGTTGTAGATTATAACCAGTAATGAAGTATATATCATTTAAAACAGAATCTACTTCTTAAGAATATATATAATTAATTTGGCTTTGTATTTCTATAAGGCTTGTGCTGTATTTGAGCAGAGTGGTGTCTCATCATGGGCACAGGCGTGCTTGGAGAGTGACTATTCCTTGACAGTTATTGTGACATGAGATGAGAACTTGCATATGCCCATCTCCAAACCAACCCCCCCTACTTGGCCATGGTAGTGGAATTGGAACAGGGTATTTCCATCATAGTGAAACTGGGTGAAAGGTGACTTTGTGGAGATTATTCGGGACCCATGGAGGCCTTTGGGCCAGACTGAAAGTGACTGTTGCGGATGTCATTTACAAGAGGGACACTAAAGGTTTTCACAAGCATCATGCCACCTGAGCCTGACCCATACCCGTGTCTCTGGGACTTGGCCCGACCAGGCCAACTGGTACTGCTAAATTTCAAGCCTGACCTGAATCTGCGTGCACTAACAGATGCATTATCCCATGCAGTTTTACAGTGCTTTGCTGTGGCACAAAGCGCTTGATCGACTGAAAGTTAGCCTCAGATACAGCTCTTAGGATAAACAGCAGTAAACTAAGGAGATGGTAATCAGTGGGAATACCTTTACAATTTGAACAAACATGTCAAGTCAGGTCAAAGGTTATTTATATAGCCGTTGTCACAAAGCAGCTTTACAGAAAAATCCAGTCAAGCCCCTATGAGCACTGCCAACAGTGACAGTGACAAGGAAAAACTCCCTAAGAGCAAGAGGAAGAAACACTGAGAGGAACCAAGACGTAAAAGGGGAACCCATCCTCCTCTGGTCGACACCAGATAGCAAAAATTAACAGTAGAGAATAAGGTTTGAACATTAATATAAGATATGGAAAAGGGAAAAAACAGGAGAAGCGATGTCTATGATTAAATAAACATGGTCAAGATTGATCATCAGCCAGTTGAAGTTGTGCAGAATTTTAAGTATTTGATCATTATACTTTACAGTAGATTGAGGTTTACAGCCAATTCTGAGTACATGCTTAAAAAGTCCCTGCAACGCATGAAACTGCTGAGGAAACTGAACTGAGCCGAGATATTTTAGCGCTGGTCTACAGGAGTTTGGTTGAGAGTGTTTTGATGTATAATATACACACTTGGTGCAGTGTCCTTGGAGCTAAAGATAAGACCAATCTGTCTAGGATTGTGAATATGGCTGAGAAAACCATACGTAACCACAAAAACAGTTATGCAACATATATTTGTCTATTAGTAGGAAGAAAGCCTGGCAAATTGTGGAGGATCCTACTCATCCGAATTCGACCTGCTCCTTTCTGGAAAGCGTTACAGGGCACCTTGGACCACAAAAAATATTCATTTTCAAGTATTCATTTATACCTTATGGAATTTTTTAAATGCCCTCTTTCGATTTCAGTTACCTGCCTTTTTCCTTGTCTGTCTTTTGCTGCGTCTCAATGGAAGAGCAATGGTGTATAATTAAAAAATAGAGAATTTTGGTTCTAAAGCCAAACACATCGGCCCATATGCACGGAAAGATAAGATAAGAGCATCTGCTCTTAAATGTAATGTTAACAGACTCATATGTAGTTGTATTTAGTGCACAGTCTGTCATCGTCCTCTGTGAAAGCCTGAATACTGAGTGGAAGAGAGGTGACAGTTACAGAATTAAAGCAAAAAGCTGTAAAAGAATGAGAGAGATAACGCATATTTATAAATAATTTAAAAAAAGGTGGTGTTCGTGTCGTGATGTCGTGTGTGGACGTTCTGCAGGGTGCTTACTGTGTTTGACTTGTACAGTAAATGTTAACCCCTGTCATTTTACTGCTCAAACACTGAACTAATTCACTCTCTAGAGTCGAGGAACTCTCGGCAGCATGTCAAATCAGATGATTCTTGGTGTTTCTATAAACATCTTTGAGATAATACTGTGCAGAAATATGAATCAAACAGTTCCTGAATCTGTAGAGTCACCCTTTCCATTCCATCTTATTACAAGATCATACGCGACTCACATCCGGAGATATAAGGCTATAAAGAGGGGCTGAGATAAACTCCATCTGCCTCTTACCGTGTGAAACTGGTGGATTAGTGTGTCTGTCTATATTTTGTGTGAAACTGACCAATGAACACTCTGGAAATCACTGCACACTGACCCACCAAGTTGTGTGTAGAAATTTGCAGCTGCTGAAGTTGCTGCAGGGGTTTTGGAAAATAGCAATAAAGATACCGTTTATCTACTATTTTATTCATGCATTCCACTATGTTTGTGATCAAGACTTTGGTAAACCCATTTCAAGCACCAAAACAATTAGCTATGTTTTCACAAGAGATATGAAGAATTTCTAAAAACCGGATTTCATTTTTTTCAGGATTTGGGCTGAATCATCTTTGTACACAGTGCTCCAGGTCAAAAGGGCCTCGTTATAGAGAGAGCTGAGATTGTTCTGAACATTTTAATATATAATATGTGAGTATCATGTCTTATGCAAGAGCCTTTAAAGGCAAATTTAAGAATTTATGCAAAAATCAACCTTAGGTCGGCTAGCGCAGGAATACAGTAAAAAAAAATAAAAGTTTTTTTATAGCTGTTCTCACATCAAATTGTGCACTACACAGACTATATTTTAATTCTCCCAGTCACAAAGACTATGTTGCGATCAGAATGTCATACTGAATTGCATCACGACCTTTCAGAATACACTGGTGTGTGAAACAGCTTGAAATGTTTGCGTTCGAGTATGCATATGAGGTATGTCTCCAGCCTGTGGGAGTCTCTGTGAGTGCGTGTATACCTCTGTGCTGCAGCTGTAGCTGCTGCCTCCATAGCAAACTGTCTCATGGCACTCTCCTCTAAATACTTCTGCTCCCAGCGCATCATATCAGCCTCCAGTCCCAGAATTCTCTCCTCTCTCTCCCTCAGCAGGTCCAGCAGCGCTGGGGCGCTTGACTCACACGCTGCAGGAAGGGCCATTCCCACACCAGCACGCTACACACACATATAAAAAAACTGGTGGTTACGGTTGATGCTGGGTGAGGTAATTACTGGTTTTCTTACTGTTAGCCCCACAGACACCACCCTTCTGCAGCCATGAACTAACAACGTAATTGGGGAAGTGTGTGTGTGTGTGTGTGTGTGTGTATGTGTGTGTGTGTGCGTGTGTTTTCATTCATTTTTCAGGACAAAAGCATAAAACCACAGAGAAACAGGTCTAAGTTACAGGGACGACAAAAAGTTCTGACTTTGTAAAGTGTTTTTTACAAAGCCCCATGTTCCAGCTCATTTTCAAAAACAATTAAGGGGAAAATCCATTTCTTTTTGGTAACTGATGTTAAGTTCAGGATTAGGTTTAGGGTTAGGCTTAGACTTCTTATTACATGTAGTTCCACATACAGATACTGACATATGTATAATACATATGGGACTTGCTACTGCATGTAAGTATTTACATCGATATATTCCACATGAGATTCTTCTTATTACATACATATATACATATCATACATACAGAACACATCGTTGCTGTCAAGACAAAACTTTGCATCTCTAGGTTTGACACAGAAACACTAATAATAAAACTTGACTGACATTAAAAGTTAAGATACCTTTTACCCTCTCCTGGAAAGTTACCATTTTGAAGATACTTTTTCTTTTCCTGGCAATATATATACATGTGCAGACTGTGCAGACTGTGCAGACTGTGTGAAAGCGCTGACCAGTTAACATGGGCGCATCGCTGACACCATGCAGAAGCAGTATATATGAATTCGGCCTTATACATGGACCCTTACATATATATGACTCCACTGTCTCACAATATATAAAAACAAATGTTCGTTTATGTGTATTTTACCTGTTGTGATCTCAGTGCCTCTAGTTCCCTCTCCAATCGGGTTCTGAGGCGTTTCTCTAGCTGTTCTCGCTTCTCACAGGCGGCCTGGAGCTGGCCCAGAGCCAACTGCAGCCGTTCCACTCGCTCCACATATACCTGCTTCTTCCCCAACTACACATACAGGCAAATAACACAAGAGCTTAGAGGGGTTATTAGTTTACTTCAGTAGCTATAGTATCAGCTCTCCACTTTATTAAAGTGATTTGTCAAAAAAATTAAACCATTAACCAGCCAAGACATGTTTAAGACCCGCTCATAATTAAGCCTATTTGAGATTACTTAAGAACTTAATGTGGTTTGAGGCGAATATGTGTTGATTTAGGCATGTAAACTGCATGATGCCAATTGGTAGAGTGGCTTTCATTACTTGTTAGCTCCATTAGCCTTGTAACTTTAAAACTAAAAGCAAACTACTGACACTAAACATGTCTTGGCTGGCTATATTTGGAGTAAATTTAGATTTTTTCACTGAATTGCTGCGCTACAATAATATCAGGATCAGATCAGACAGTTAGACAGACAATTCAGATTTGACTGATATGTCAAACCGCTATTTGAGGACGAATTTACCGTACAGCGGAAGAGTAGAACTTTTAGGCAACAACAGGCTACAGCTGCATTTTATTCAATTTAAAGCAGTTGAAATCCAACAAAAATAAATGGTACCTTCTTTTGTCATGCTAATCTAAGTGGATCAAGTTCCAATTTCAACATCTTACTTATTTTTACGTATTGGCATCAGCAGCCATGTTGAAAAATTTTGGATTTTAGCATCAGGCCAGAATTCCCATATTGGTGCTTCCCTAGCTTTAAGTATCGTCATCCCAGAATTTGTGTGTTAATGAAAGTATATAGTAACTGTTAAGGCTCTGTTTTTTGTGCCTGCGCACAAAAACTTTGTGAAAGCACACCAAAACCTGTGTAGCATAACAGAATCGTGGAAGAATGTGTCCAATATTCACTCCACCATATAATTATACCCGCTGTTTTGAAAGGTATTGGGAAGTGCAAATACCAACCCACTGCACTCAAACAGCTGTCTTAAACAAAGCACCTCATGCCACAGGGCAGGCTGAGAACAGAGTGTTTCTTTCCTTCGGAAACCCACACTTAAACTGTCCTTCTTCTGAATGAATTTTCTTGCTGTTCACCCAAGCCTGGTATCGTTATTTTTCAACTATTCACTCTTAAAAAAAAGATGGTTATTCAAAGGTTCTTTAGTAAAGAAAATGGTTCTGTACAGAACTACGAGCATTAAGGGTTCTTGCATCATGAGGGGTTCTTCAGATTGATGAAAAATGTGCATGGATGTGCTACAAATGGTTCAATATACAATCATTTGGAAAAGGGTTCTATATAGCACCCAAAAGTGTTCTTCTATTGTTACAATATAAAACCATTTTCAAAAAAGTTCTGTATAGAACCATCTACAGTGCATTCTCCATCAATCAAAAGAACCATTTCATGATGCAAAGAACCCTTTAATCATGCAAAGAATTCCTTTTGAGTGTTCATGGTTCTATATAGAACCATTTTCTTTACGAAAGATCCCTTGAAGCACCATCATTTTTAAGAGTGTAGTTAAAAGCACATATTGAAGCTCATTTGGTTCAAAGGTGGTTTAAACATCTGAAAGGTTTGAATGCTGATGAAGGGGGTCACTCCTATGTTCTCAGGGCCCTAGGTTCCCTCTTCGTAATTTTGGGAACATCCCTGTATTCCCTGGGCTCTTTGTTCCCTCATTAAAGATTTCTGAGAAACAAATGCATGTTCCTAATGCTGTTTCCAGGGCCCTATGATCCATGCATTTTCAGCTTCCTATGTTCCCAGATCCCTCTATTTTCAGGGCCCTAATTTTCCCAAGGTCATATGTTACCAGATCACTATGTTCTCAGGTATTCTGAGAATCAGGGCCCTATGATCAATGTATTTTCAGGTCCCTATGTTCCCAGATCCCTCTATTCTCAGGGCCCTATGTTTCCCAAGCTCTATAATCCCAGATCCCTCTATTTTCAGGGCCCTATGTTCCCAGCTCCCTCTATTCACAGGGCCCTATGTTTCCTCTTTGAATTTTTGGGAACATCCCTATATTCCCAGGGCCCTTTGTTCCCTCATTAAAATTTTCTGAGAAACAACTCCATGTTCCTAATGCCCTGTTTCCAGTGCCCTGTATTCCCAGACCCCTATGTTCCCAAGGCCCCATGTTACCTCTTTGTAATTTTGAGAACATCCCTATATTCCCAGGTCTCTATGTTTCCTTACTAAAAACTTCTACAACTCCATGTTCCTAAGACCCCATGTTTCAGGTCCTTAATTATATTCCAAGAACTTGCCCAGATATCACTGTGATCTGATGCAACATTAATTTAATCTATTACTCAACATTTCAAAGAAGGGCTATGCATAGAAGGGCTATGCACCACACTTAAAGTTTGCTTCACTTACTGAGGCTAATCTACCCGAGAGCAAATGTGTTCTTATTAAAAGATCAGCTCCTCGTTGGTCCCTTTATGACCTTTGGTGACCCCTTGACTGTAACCATAACTTTACCTTTTTGCAGGTTTCCTTAATGTATCATATTGAGTTGAGGGAGCACAGGGCCCTGAAAACACAGGACACTAAAAGGTAGGACACTGAGAACATAGAAGCTTGTGAATATAGGTACAGTGCGATGAAGGAGCGCTGACATCAAAAGGGGATTTGGCATTATTCCTAAAGGATACACTGATATGGCTGTGGGTAAATACCCATAAACAACATTTTTCATGTAACAAAACATAAACGTTTATAAAATGTAGAAACTGGGCACTGTATGTACCAACATCTTCACTTAAAACCCGCTCATCAGCCTACACTGACCCAGTAAAATGGCTCGTAATGAACCTGTCTTTGCTGTGTGCTGCCATGTGTGGAACTCTGACTCAGTTATTCTGACTCTTCATATATTACAGCACTGCTGCACTATTAATAACTTCTGGCCAGACACTGCAGCTGTGAAATCCAACCCGTTCCATGGCTTTTCCCCCACCCTCTTCCTTCTGCATGATGACTATCTTACTTCACAATCCTGCTTACTGCAATTACAGCAGCAAATAACACTATCCACCCCGCAACATGCTCACATGAGTTACTCCTGATCTAACACTCACCAAAACATGACTTCTTAACCTATTCATTAGGGTTGCGCTCGAGAAGCTGCATGAAACAAATACAGTGTTTGTGTCAGCAAGCAGCAAAACAGCATAGCCAACCTGCTGTAAAGTCAACAAATATAACGCTATATGATATGACAAACTACCAAAGAAAACACCTGTTAAAAGTTAGGAGACACCTACCTGTTCAAAATGCTCTTCATATTAATAAGCATGTTGTCTTTGCTGGTTAACAACCTAATGTATTAAAGATATTAAAATATTACAGGTAAATTGTGCCAATAACTAAATAACGATGAAAATTGTTCATAAATGTTCATTAAAACTCTCTTGTGAGCTGTAAATGGCACAAGTTCTTTATACAAAAGGTTTAAAATATTTGCATGAAAAAAATGGGGCAGATCTACTAATGTTTCCTGTGCCGTTGCAAACTCTATTTTAGTGTTAAAAGTGACTGTCGCGATTTACTACATGGCCAAAAATGAAAGGAGTTTTCGCTGCTCTTTTGTGTTTTTGCCTCATAGCATATACAAAGACAAATGTACAAAAGTTTACTGCGGTAATCTTTGGAGAGGATTTAAAGTTATTAAAAATGCAGATTTTAACTTGAATCTTTGAATTCTCATGACAAAATAGTGACATATTCTCTCAAAATAATAACACTTGATCGAAGAGCAGTAACTAATTTTTTGGACATAAATCTAATCTTAGGAAAATGAGTCATTATTTGAACACTTTGAACTTTCAAAGTCAGAATATCGAGATAGCAAGTTAATATTCTGAGGAAAAACCAAAAAGTCAACAAAGTAGGTCAAACTATGGACATAACGCTGCCAGAAATAAGACAGAATAAGGGAAAAAATGCATACAAACAACATTTTTATCCTCCCTGGTAGAAACAGGCCGCCCCAACTAGCACAAACTGTCTGGTGACCGCCCCTAATTAGCCCCTCTCTTAGTAAAGCTGGCCCAGTTTGAAGCAGCTGCTAAGGAAGGTTTTCTAGTATATATTTTTTTTTGTACATTTATTTTTTATTTATTTATTTTTTCAGTTTTTTAGGCATTGTTACAAATATTTGCAGTTCCTAATGCAAACCTGGTTCGAGTGTATTATTCGTTAAAAACATTCTGAAAAAGATAGGTGTCCCCAAACTTCTGATGGCCAATGTGAGGTTTTCTTACAAACACCTGAGGCTCTATTACAGAGGCAGGCAATATGTCAAAAACACCTGTGACACCTGAAGACACTGTCACAACACAGAATATGCATTATAATGATGTTTTTTCTGAGATTTGCTATGTTGCAATAGTGCCACATTTCACACACCGTGTTGCACTAATTCCAATGAAACTTTTATGCAGTGTTCAGTGTTCTGGAAGTACAGCTGATACACCATGAAAGGTATAATTGTAATATAATTAATATTAATATATATATATACATACATACATATATACATAGTGTGCCTGTAGCTTGCTTAACATCAATGCAATTAATAAAATAGTATCATATTGCTCGCCCATCCGTGACTGACCTAAAAAAACTAAACCCAATTATTATTAAATTCTGAAACTATTATGCAGTGTTGATAGACAGCTCAGTGCAGACTGACCTCCTCCTCCAGTCTGACCACTTTGCTCTGGGCATTATTTAGAGCCTGTTCCAGAATCTCAATATGACGCCGCTGATCCTCGCTGGCTGAGCGAAGGGTATCCGCCTCCATCTCCAACCGCTCCATCTCTTTTATACTTTCCCTTCCTGAAAAAAAAAAAAAACAGACTTCCTGTGTGCTTTTCCTTCCTGACACAGAGCAGACACTCAAATAATACAGCAAAGAACAAGCAGACTGCTCCACTCTCACTGCAGCGCTTGAGCATGTCTGCCTGTAACTGTACCTTTAGTACAATTCAGTCATAGTACATTTACTAATAAAGTGCTGATTTCATTTATCGTTCAATTTTTATTAACCGTTACAGATTTTAAAAAGAAATCACAGCACCGACCTGAGGAAGCAATCAGCTGACTAGTTAACTAATCTTAGCTAAACAGCTACTGTGTTCTTTCATTATTGTCTTTTAGAACAACACCCATGACAGCTTTCATTGACTCCTATGCTACAGCTTATATATGCAAACACTGAAGCTAAAAGCTATTAGAAAATGTAAGCTGACATTGAAAATAATGGTCATTAAGCTAATTTAAGACAAGTAATTCTCCATCAATCTGAAGAACCCTTTTACAGTGCCAACAACCCTTTGATCATGCAAACGTTTCTGTAAGTGTTCATGGTTCTATATAGACCCATTTTGAAAATGGTTCTATAAAGCACCCAAAAGGGTTCTTCTAGTGTTTTGATGTTAAGTTTGTAACACTAGAAGATCCCTTTTTGGTGCTACATAGAACCATTTTCAAAAAGGTTCTATACAGAACCATCTATAGCACATTCTCTATCAATCTGAAGAACCCTTTCACAATGCAAAGAACATTTTAATAATGCAAAGCTTTCTTTCACTGTTCATGGTTCTTTATAGAACCATTTTGAAAACGGTTCTATAAAGCACCCAAAAGGGTTCCTCTAGTGTTTTGATGTTAAGTTTATAACAATAGAAGAACCATTTTTGATGTTATGTAGAACCATTTTCAACAAGGTTCTACACAGAACCATCTATAGCACATTCTCCATCATTCTAAAGAACCCTTTCACAGTGCAAAGAACATTTTAATAATGCAAAGCTTTCTTTCACTGTTCATGGTTCTTTATAGAACCATTTTGAAAAGGGTTCTATAAAGCACCCAAAAGGGTTCCTCTAGTGTTTTGATGTTAAGTTTATAACAATAGAAGAACCATTTTTGATGTCATGTAGAACCATTTTCAACAAGGTTCTACACAGAACCATCTATAGCACATTCTCCATCATTCTGAAGAACCCTTTCACAGTGCAAAGAACCCTTTAATCATGCAAAGTTTAATGTTCATGATTCTGTACAAAACCATTTTCCTTCCTAAAGAACCCTTAAAGAACCATCATTTCGTGTGTAGCCAATAAACTGTGAAGCAGATGAACAGTAAAGAATGTATTTACTCTTACTTGAGTCATTTTCTTTACTTGTGTTTTAAATTGTATTTAAGTATATTAACAGTACTTCAGGTGCTGCGGTACGTCAGTACGAGTAATCAAGTGATCTAGTGATTACACTGATAAACAATCAAGTAATCAATTTGTTTCCTTTTAAATAGCAAGCAATAAAAAAGGGGCTTAGCTGAACAACAACATACAATGCAGTCTTTCAAAGATTTCGGAATACATATTTAATACAATTTCAAATTCAATTTTAAATTTAGAGTCATATTTTTTCCTTTGTATGTTGCAGTGAATCCTTCAGTAAAGCCTAACTGAATATTATTGGAGTGCCATGTTAGCCAGTTAGCTGTCTGCTGAGCTGTTCAGCCTAGACCTCTAATTAACCCCCTATATCCAAGTTTATTACACACTAAGGCTTCTTATTAAATTTTGGCCATTTGATGGGTTACATAAAACTTTTTACTTCACATACACTACACGCAAATATGTAAGTTTACTTCATATACATGCAATTTGTTACTACAATACACATACACACACACACACACACACACACACACAAATGTACATGCATTTATGAGATTCTGCTGGTGAGGGCTTCTTCTTTTTCAGTGATGCAAACCAAAATGACTTGTAACTTAAAGGGCAATTCCACCGATTTTTTTTTCCAATCTTAATTTCCGCATAAGTCAATTGTTAACAAGTCAATTTTAAACAAATTCATTCAAAGTGGTTTGGTGTGAAACGCTCTGTTCTAGAGAAACTTACCGAGTCAGAATTGTTCACAGTGGTGGTGACAGGAACCAGACATCTTCAGAATTGAATGCCTCTAAAAGCTACTTCACAAAAAGTTACTACATAAAATGGTTATAAATAAACTGCCTGATGTCCAAGACATTTTTCTATGATAGTTTTGCGATTGTACTTTTCTACAATGTACTTTTTTTTTAATCCATTAATAGTGAAGAGATACATGCAGATCATTGTAAGTTAAAGTAGCCCTTTTTTCAAGATGAACCTCTATTTTACCATCATTAAACACTTAGAAGATACATGTAGGTCCACTGGTGGTTTTGGATAGTAAATAAAATGGTTATATTTATGTTGTAGACATTGTGCCTCCTGGTTCCTATCACCACCACAGTAAAGACATCTGAATCTGTAAGTTTCTCTACAAATGAACCATTTCATATCAAACCACTCTGAATGACTTAGTTTACATCTCAATGACTCAATTCTGCAATCGGTGGAATTCCCCTGCTTCAGCCTGCCAAACATGGCCTTGTAATGACTTCCGGACGTGCTGTTTATCATTCAAATTGCAAACTAGTTACTAAGCCAGTTCAAAAATGTACACTTTAATTGGTTTGAGTTAAACTACACCTTCAGTACGTTTTGGATGCTTTTTTCTGTGTATATTATTAAAACTACAAATGCTGAAATGGTGAATTTATCATACAGTATTGTTCAGCCTGTACATTCTTTCAATCTCTTCATAAAGCAAACAGCAAATACCAGTAGATATATTCAGTGCTTCCTTAATTTAATACTGTAACTATGTCTTGTTATACTCTTTCTTGTGATATTTTGCTTAGCACATAAAACTCTATTCAGATTTTTATCATGGCAATTATACTGATGGCATCAGTGCTGATATTCATAGCTTTATGAAGTATTAGTAATGAATACACATATTTTTACTTTGTATACATTTTATAAATATTCCCAGTCGCTAGATGTGTAATATTTTTCAGAAATATCTCTACATGAAATAAATTACATACTGATGCAGCAGATTTTATGGCTTTAAAGCTTATAATTGAAGTCCATTTGTCAGCGCTGGTCACTGTGGGGCTTGTTTGTTCAGTCCCTGTGGTTTTGCAGGAAATGGGATAATTCTATCTGCTCATTTTAGACAGAGAAAGAGAGAATGAGAGAGTGATACAGAGACGGTAAGCAGGAAATCATCTGGCCTAACTACGTCCACAGAGACGGACAGTAAAAACCCTCTTCCTGTCAAAACTCCTAACTTTTTCCTCCAGAAACATAAACATGTTTTCAAAAGTTGCAGTCCAAAACAAACCTATCAAAGCTGGATTTCCCCAAATCTTTGTAGCCTAGCAATTGTCGATAATATGGCATTGAAAAATGGTCCAACTCATCCCAAAGATTTATACCCTTCTAGCTGATGCCAGGCATTGGGCACAGTGAACTTACACTCATGTGTAGCTGCTCCAGACCATCCCTTTCTATTAGCAATGCTTTCCTATGGAGATCATATAAACTGTATGCACTACTGAACAGTGTTAGCAGCTGTAGTTTGAATTTGCTACTGATTAGAAGCTAAATTAACCAATGTGAATGGTTAAGGGTGAATGAGGAGGAAGATTCTAGAATAGTGTGAATAAGAGAGAATCTTCTAAAACAGTGTGAATGTGCGAAGGATATTTCAAAACAGTGTGTATGAGGAAGAACACTCTAGAACAGTGTGAATGAAATAAAACACTCCTGCATAGTGTGAATGAAATGAGAACATTCTAGAACTCTGAGAATGGTGGGAACATTTCAAAGCCGTGTGAATGAGAAAGATCATTCTAGAACAGTGTGAGAGGGGAGAACATTTTTGAACAGAGTGGATGGTGAAGAATATTCTACAACAGAGTAAATGAGAAAGAACATTGTAGAACACTGTGAATGGGAAAGCACATTCTAGAACTGTGTAAATAGGGAAGAACATTCTGGAATAGTGTGAATGGAAAAGAACACTGTAGAACAGTGTGAGGGGGGACAACATTTTAGAACAGCGTGGACTGGGGAAGAAAACATTCTATAACAGTGATTATTGTGAGGAATATTTTATAACAGAATAAAGGGAAGAACATTGTGGAACAGTGTGAATGGAGAAGAACTTTTTAGAACAATGTAAATGGTAAGGAATATTTGAGAACAGTGTGAATGGGGAGAACATTCTACAATAGTGTGAATGAGGAAACACTCTAGAACAGTGTTAATGGGGAAAAAACATACAACAGTGTGAAACAGAAGAACATTAGAGAACAGTGTAAATAGGAAAGAACATTCTAGAATAGCGTGAATAGGAAGGAACATTGTAGAACAGTGTGGGGGGAGAACATTTTTGAACAGTGTGGATGGGGAAGAAAACTTTGCAGAACAGTGTGAATGGTGAGGAATATTCTATAATAGAGTAAATGAGGAAGAACATGGGGAGGAACTTTCTAGAACAATGAAATGGTGAGGAATTTTTGAGAAAAGTGTGAATGGGGAGAACATTCTAGAACAATGTGAATGAGGAAAACACTAGAATCATGTGAATGGGAAAAAACAGAAAGAACATTCTAGCACAGTGTGAATAGGAAAGAACACTCGAATACTGTAAGGGGGAGAACATTTTAGAACAGTGGGGATGAGGAAGTAAACATTCTAGAACAGTGTGGATGGAGAAGAACCTTCTAGAACAATGAAATGGTGAGGAATATTTAGAAAAGTGTGAAACAGAAAGAACATTCTAGAACAGTGTGAACTGGGAAGAACATTCTAGAATAATGTGAATGGAAAAAACACTGTAGAACAGTGTGAAAGGGAGAACATTTTAGATCAGTGTGGATGGAGAAGATAACATTCTAGAGCAGTGTGGATTGTGAGGAATATTCTATAATAGTAAATAGGGAAGAACACTGTTTTTAGAACAACGTAAACGGTAAAGAAAAATTGAGAAATTGGGAGAACATTCTAGATTAGTATGAATGAGGAAAAACACTTTAGAAAAGTGTGAATGGAAAAAAGTTATAACAGTAAGAACATTCTAGAATCGTGTGAACAGGAAAGAACATTCTAGAACAGTGTGAATGGTGAATACTTTCTTGAACAGTGTGAATGGAGAACATTCTAGAACAGTGTGAATGGTGAATACTTTCTTGAACAGTGTGAATGGAGAACATTCTAGAACAGTGTGAATGGGGAAAACTTTCTTGAACAGTGTGAATTCTAGAGTCTCCAAACAATCCATCACACATATGACAGAAACTCTGGCTTTTTTCAGTGTAGCAGGTTTTGTTGCTGGTCTTAATCCATGGATGTTTAGTGCTGACTGTAAAATGCTGGGTCAGTGTCCAGATGGCTTAGGTCACTCACTCTCGTTTAGATAAAGCCGGCTGTCCTCTTGCCCCTCTGCCTCCTGATTGGCCAGTTGTCGATTAGCTGTTTCCAAGCGGTCTGGATTGAAGAAAATAAGAGATTAATCAGGAATCAAACATAAAAATGCAGACAGCACTCTACTGGAACATTTTAGGTGGCGCCTGCCTTAAAGAGTTAATATCAAATTACGTTATGTGTTACGTTAAGTTGCCTGAGAAACTGTGCTGTGTGAAAGACCCTCCTGTTCCTTTAGGATGCTAAAGATCTAAGTGGTATCTCGCTCACCTCTCAGATCCCGGTTGAAGTCATGCAGGCGTCTGATCTCCCCCTCCAGTCTGAGCCGCATGGTCTTGTCCAGGGACTCCCGTTTTGAGGAGCTCTTCACCAGACTCTCATATGCATCCGAGAGACGACCCACTTCAGCCTCCAGCTAAACAGACACACACATAAAAAATATTCAAACTGTCAAATATTCTAACTATTGTACTCCTTGGGTTTAACCTGGTTATTACCATGCATTTTGAGTTTTGATGGACTATTGGAATGGGATATTTATTGTAACCAGGTTTTTGACATTACGAATAACTATAACTGATTCAAATGTGTCAAATGGTTATACAAGAATAAAATACATTATGTGTCCAAAATTCTCTTGAAACCCTAATTCAGCTATTTTAAAGTGCCCGTATTACTGATGTGTTCAATTGAGCACGCACTGCTTGTATAACCTCAAAAGTAAAGCATTGCTAATAGAATGGGACGTGGATCAGCCACACATGAGCCTAGGGTCACCAAACCCAACTGTGTTCTCTGGAGTGATGGAGCTCCACCCAATACCTTTGGGATGAGTTGGAGTGACATTTGTGATCCAGAACTGATCATCAAACATCAGTAACTAATGCTCTTGTGGCTGAGCGCAGTCAGATTCTCACAGCCAATAATAATAGTGAAGAAATGTATTAGTGTAATAGTGTATTACTGAAGCAAATGGGTATAATTAATACACTACTAATACCCTTGATTTCAGAAGAAACACCAAATGGACAGGTGCTGTTCATTTCATCAGGTCCAATACTAAATGCACCTTTCTTCGTGTAATTGTACATTTACAGGCTGTAGTCCATCTGTTTCTCGGGCAGAATTTTAAGCCCACCTTTAAATCGTTAATCAATGGTCAGGAACCCACAGGACCACAACAGAGCAGGTATTATTTTGACAGTGGATCATTGTCAGCACCGCAAAGATACTTACACGGCAGTGACATGCTGGACTGAGATCCATAAAAAGAAAAGCAAGCGTTTTGTACAGATATGATATTTGCCAGAAGTCCTGACTGTTCAACCAGCTCAGCTCAACAGCCATGTTTCAACAACAATCTCATCTACATAAAACATAATAAATGTTCAGTTATATTCATATGTGGGCATACCAGTGTCTTGCTATGGTTTGCATTAAATAAATCAGTTAATGAACAACATTTTTACGTCACTGGGGGCTGTTACTACAGTAACTTGGTTAACCTTGACGGGGCACAGACCTGTACACAGACTGTACACTGTAAAAAAACACACAGTTAATCAAGTAGGAAGGATCTCTTCAATCTGGCTAGCCTGCTGTGATTAGCCCTTGACAGTGCTATTTCCCTTTGTCCATTTGGATAACATTTGAATGTTTTAGCGTAGTTCTGTCTTTGGTAATGAAATTTCAAATGCCTTATTAGAGAATGTGAATGCATTTAAGGTAAATGACATTTAAATTATCTTTTAGACATTTTAATTATCTTTTAGACATCCTTAAAGTTTAATTACATGAAGAAAATCAATGCAGGGAAAATACATTATAACTTCCACTTTGCATTATCATTTAAATACAGCTAATCATAAAGCTGGCAAATAAAATGTCAACACTCGTATACGAAACAGCAAACGCAAATGACATTACTGATTAAGGAATCTTTTCATTTTGAGCCAATATTTGCAATTATGAGGCTTCAGTCAAGTATACGACTTCACTTTCAATACACTTATCACATTTTCATTTGAAGTGCTTAGAATTACAAGGTGTTTCCACAGTATAAGCTGCCAAGTTTGGCATGTGGCTGCATAAACTAATACGTTCCTAATCCTCCTCTTTAGTTTCTTTTTTCAACCTTTCCTATCAGCCTCCAAGCTAAATATGTCATTTGCTGAAACTCTTAACCTACAGACTGCACTGCAATCCTAAATAAGGTAGTGCTTCAATGGTTCAATGGTTCGATACAGAACCATAAACATTAAAAGAACACTTTGCATGAATAAAAGATTCTTTGCATCATGAAAGCGTTCTTCAGATTGATGGAGAATGTGCATGAATGTGCTATAGAAGGTTCTATATAGAACCTTTTTGAAAAGGGTTCTATAAATTCTATTGCTACAAGCTTGACATCATGACAACAGAAGAACCCATTTTTGTGCTACAGAGATCCCTTTTCATAAACGTTCTGTTTATGAAAAGGGTTCTCTATAGAGAACAAAGAGTAAAGAGCAGAAAATGTTTTCTATCAATCTCAAGAACCCTTGAAGCGCCATCGTTTTGAGGAGCGTACACAGATTATTTTTCTCCTTATTTGATGCCCCCTAATTTTATCCTGAGCTGAGACTCATTTGGGATCCAAAGGATGAAACAGAAGGAGAGACGGAGATGAGCTCTTCAGTGAACCGGCTGTACTTCTAGGACAGGATGAATAGGGTATAATCATACAGACTACTTATAAATTCATTTCAATGGCTTGATGTATAACAAACAAAACACCCAAATATATAGTAAAGATCCAAAGAGAGATAAAGGAATAGGAGAAAAAAGAACATTTAACCTATATTTCAATCAGTTAAACAGTTGATAACTGTCAAGTTGCATGAAAATTGTGCTGCAGACAACTCACAACATGCACAACTAGCTGCATGGAAGTTTCATCATGTAACACCAGCCTTAGAAGACACAGATAACAAAAGGAAGTAATTTAATATGAATTATTTCTCACTTGTAGTTCATTAAAATAAGCAGAGAAAATATGTTGAAAGAGACAATTCACTTTAATCCATACCACATCTGTGTTTGTAAGCAGAAAAAAGATATTTATATGATCTGAATTCGGTGAAATATGTATTTGATGAAACATTATCTTGTTTAGTGTAACGAAAAACACCAAACCAACCAAAAAAGAAAAAAAAAAACAAACAATCTGAATGTTTATTGAAAACATTCAATAAATATGAATGAAATATACTGTGTCAGCATAATTTTGTCTCTCAAGTTAATAAGTGTTTTAATGTTATACATTTTATTCATGTGAAAATAAATAAATCAAGTCAACTGAATGCATCCAATTTTTGCATTTGGCTCTGTCTAACCAACATAACACTTGTTTTCAAGCTCTTCCACTCTAGATCTCTGTGGATTCTGGAAAAATCCTATTTGCTAAGATTCGAAAATTGCAACAGAGTACAAACACTGGAGTTGTGTTCTGTCTCGAAACCTTCTGTTGTCCACTGTCCACACAGTGACCTGCTGTTCCAGCACCAGCACCATCGCATTGTATAACCAACACAACACGAGACAGAGAACAAGCAAATACCTCCACAGGGTCAAACAACACAAAAAAACAACTCCACACTGCTGACCCGTGGGTGTCGGATGGCCAAACATATCTTCAAGCACACAACCACACAGCTGGCCAGCCTATTTGGTGACCATTTGGCGGTTGTACATGAATAAAATGCATTACTTAAACACAGTAATTCCCAAAATAAGTAAACTTTTTGCAATTGTGTTGATGCAACATATTTTCTTTGTGTGCAACCACTGCAAAATCATAAATATGTATCTGTTGGTGGTATTTTTCTTCTTGATTATCCTGTTTTGCTATTTTTAAATCTGCTGACAGCACTTTGGCCAACATTTTTAATTATGTTTGACAAATAAATCTGACTGTACTTGGCCTGTGTGAGGCAACAAGAACTACAGCTTTAATCATAACAGATGTTTTGGTCTGATCCCCAAAGCAGCCAAGAATAGAGGTCTGCACTCCTGTGGGACCCGCCACAGTATCTTGCAGCGTGGGACTAATTTTCAGTGTTGTGCGCTGAGCGAGCGGGAAACCAGTCCACTGCAGACAGGAGCGGGACAAAGCACACATGATTTCACAAATTAATGAACAGCCTAAACACAGTAAAACAATCACTAGATCATATATAAACAATATAAATATGATAACAGTAAAAGAGTTAAAATGACTGAAGTCATTGTAAAGAGTTGTGAAGCAGCAAATTCTTGTAGCTCACAGAGACGACGGAGCCTTCAGTCCAACAGCCACAGCTGCCCAGCAAACCACCAAAAATAACTGCTCTGTGGTTTCATTCCTGCTTTGTGTTTACTGGGAATAAATGGCGTTTGGTGATTGGCTGAGGATAAAATCTTGCAGCCCTCTAGTTGAAAATTCGCCCACATAGCTTTGTGTTTTAAGCCCAAACCTGACCCAAGCCAAGACGAGCCCAAAAAATTCTGTCCGAGTCCGACTCAACCCAACACTCAGCAAACACCAAATTTTGTTTGGATCCGACCTGACACACATCATCATGTTTTAAATCCGAGAGCGACCTGAACTGGCCTGTCCATCACTTAAAGTGCAGCACAAAACTTGACAGAACAATGCCAAATACCACACAGTGACATTAATGACATATAATAAATATAAAATACAAAAATAACGCTATAATAAAATAATCAGCTGCCCACAAGTTTAAATTCTCTTTAATTGTCAAATAAGGCTTTTTTTTACCAACATTGATTAGTTTACTTTTTTGTGACATTTTAAAATAGGCTTGATTCTAAAAAGGTCCAATTACAAATTAGTTTGGCTCAAATCAATAAAACTTTTTTCAAAGTCTGCTGCACCAGCCAAGCAAAAAAACTCAAGAATGTATAGATGAAAACTCGCCCAGTCATTTGAGGTACACCTAGATGTCTAGTTTGGATCACTGACAGTGGTTTTCACAAAAGAAAGCAAACACAAGACCCTTGGAAGAGACTGAGGGGCGTGATAGCTTCTCAAAATTTTGCACATGTGAACATTTATTTTTTCTAGTATTTGATACTGGATACAATACATTCTGATACTGTTATCTAACAGCAATAAAATGTTTTTATCGCATTTTATTATCATCTAAATGCACTGGAGTACAACAGCAATACGCTCAATTTCTAAAGGCTGAAATGTCATGGTATGTGACGTGCGATGTAAGTAATAAAAGCACCTCATACCCGTTGCAGCTTGCTGGCTTTCTCGGATTGGGTCAGTACCTCCTGTCTGAGTCTCTGGTTTTCTTCACTGAGGACTGCCAGCATCTGCTGAGCTTGGCTGACCATCGCAAATGTATCTCCAGGTACAAGCTGTCCAGGATGGCTCTGGAGCTGGATCGGAGATTGAGGCTGGTACTGGGGTAGAGCCACTTGGTGTGGAATTAGACTGGAGGTAAGGGAAGGTTCATTTGAAAGCTCTAGTGATTGTGGACCAGGACTTATACTGGATGGGTACACTGACTGAGTTCTAAGTTTAAAAGGGTACTCCGGAGGTGGACCTCGATGGTCCAGAGAAGTTTTGATAGAAGGTAAAGGTGGTGGCGGAGGTGGGGCTGTAGTTTTGCTGCTTTTGCTGATCGGAGAAGGTGAGTTTTCAGGTCTTTCTGAGGTTTCTTTTGGGCTCGGTGAAGATGGACCCCTGCTTTGCTTGGCGCCATTGCGCTCCAGACTGAGCTGCATGATACGTTCACTAAGGGAGCGAACGTGTCCCTCCTTCAGTTCAGCCAAACCTTCATCTCGTGGAGGGGTAACCCCTATAAAACCTCGCTGGACCCAAGCCCGGCCTTCCACACGAGCCTTCATTGGTACAGCTGAGAGACAGGAAGAAGAAGAAGAAAGGGAAGGAGGAGAGGAGAGTGACGGAGCAGAAGAGAGAGAAGGAGGACAGGAACTGGTGCTAGTTGGATTGTAGTATTGTTGCTGTTGGGTTTGTGGACCCTGATGTTGACTTATGAGGTTCTGCTGGTTTGTCTTGAGGCTAGCTTGGCTCTGGAGGTTCTGGCTTAGATGTGCATTGTTCTGGACAGTCTGGTTAGAGTTTTGTAGACTTGCATGTGTATAACCCAAACTTTGAGAAGTTATCTGCTGGTCATTCTGACTGTGTTGACCTCTAAAAAGCTGTGATTGGGTCTTAGCTTCCTCATAAGATGGAAGTTCCAGGTTACCAAGTCCAGGTACACTGAGAGTTCCCTGGACACTTCCTCCACTATTCTGGCCTCCATTCTTCTCCATTGAGCAGGAATCCACCTGATGTTCCTGCCCTTGGGGCTCCTGCCTTGGCTGGGTCTGAGGTGGCACCGGTTGACAGAATGGTACCAGGTGCCCATCCTCTTCAAGAAGCAGGTTCTCAGTGGAGACAGGGTTGCTAGGCGATAGCATGTGAGGGACGCCAATGATGCTGTCGTTTTCTGAGCCTCCCACGGTCCCTCCAGTCCCGTAGCGTAGATGTTCCTGCATCAGCCGCTGGAGAACGGTTCCTGAGACGCCGTCCTCCGAGCTGCGCATACTGGCGCCCAAGGCAGGGGGCGCTGTTGGGTACGGGCACACACCAAACAGCTGAGCAACTTCACCTAGAGACAAACACAAAAACAATCAACTGCAAGACACAGGATGTAGACAGTAACTCTTCGGAGAGGGTTTTACACTAGATGTTATTACACTGCTGTGAGGATTTGATTGCATTCAGTCACAAGAGCATTAGTGAGTTCAGGTACTGATTTTGAATGATCAGTTCTGGATCAAAACGCCACTCCAACCCATCCCAAATATATTATATGGAGCTCCATCACTCCAGACAACACAGTTCCACTGCTCCACAGCCCAGTCCCGGGAGACAAGGTGATTTCAAGCTTATGTGCGGCTGCTTCAGAGTATATCATTTGGTTTTGGGATTAAGCCAATATCTAATATTTTCCACGCATGTATTTGTCTTACTTACATACATCTAATGCCAATGCATAGGCATTAAAATGTAGAAATTGGGGCATCTACCAGGGTTAACATTACACAGACACATTTACTTCTTCACGTTACAAATGCAGCACAACAAAAAAAAATGCAGAGATTTTATCATAGTAACTCAGCATTACCTAAACATTCTGCTCCCTCAGAGGAAAGTAAATATGTCATCAAAAATTTGTTTTAAATATAGGCCAAATCTAAACACCTGTCTGATGCCGCTACTTATTTTAAAGCAATTACCTGAGAGGATTCCCATATCATTGTGCATCACTAGATAAATTATTCTGTATTTGCGGTATAGACTGTCTAAATGAGACAACACATGCATTAAAGTGATATATATATTTTGGCCTTGACTGCAGTACAGGTAATTATAGTCTGGGGTTGAGTGTCAAGTCTAATAGTCCCATTAAAATGAGGCCAAATGGATGCTATTTTTTGTTTGTTTTAGATCTATGGAAAACACCACACTGACAAAAAAACAATGTATTAAATTCAGTACATTTAAAGGTGTAAATCATTTACACATGAGTAATAAAGTATTAAAGTACTCTGCGAAAGTCAGAGACCACTCTTTATTTATATAATTTCCAATCAAAATGGCCAATAAATACATGATATACATGTTCAGCACCAAACATATTTAACAGAAAATTACAAAGAAGCCTCAACAACTAAATGTATAATTTTTCAGTATTTAGTGTGTCTAACCTTTACCTTTATTACAGCATCCATTCTTTTCAGTAGTCTTGCTTTCAGTTTTTCAAAGAAATCTAAGATATTTTTCTACCCCTCCAAAGTTGCATTTTCTGCTCTTTACAATCCAAGTAATTCCAAACACATAACATGATGTTGAGGTCTGGACTTTGGGATGGTCAGTCTATTGTTCTGAGAGCATCAGCAGCTTCTTTGTTTGATTTACAAATGCTCTTATTGTCTCAGTGAGTCTTCTTGACAGCTACACATCCTTTCAGACCCACAGCGCTGAGTCGTCTTCTCACAGTGGAAGGATGGACAGAAACACCTGTGGATGTTTTCAGATCTGAAGCAGCTTGATTTTCTTTTCTCTCTCAAAAATAAAATGTGCTTGTCTTTCAGTTGACATAATAATTGTGATGCAATCTATCTGCATATATCTATCTATCAGTGCATTTCTATAGGAAGTATCAGCGCTGTAGTACAGGCAAGACAGAAAGAAGCAGGGCAGTAACAACTGTGTGCCTACGTGTTTGTGAAAAATCAGAGACCCGTGATCAACACCATCGGTCACATTCCTTCGCTATTTCAGGATTACCAAACGGTAAAGTCCCAGATTAGAATTAGAAATGGATGGTGGTCACACCATCTGGTGAGAGTTTCGCATACCTAAACTTGGCGAGGTGCGGTCTAGGCGGAAAGCGAGAGCCCGGCGGAGGGGGCATGAGAATATTTGAAGTTTGTAACCGGATGCATTTAACCCCCTGGAAGGTAGGTCAGCTGCAGTCCCAGAGCTTCAGCATGTTTGTCCGTTCCACTACTCGGAGAGTCTGGGTGTTTTTATGAACCGTTGTTTAATTTTGTGATCGTTAATGCAAACACTTCGAACAGGAAACATAGACCAGAGCTAGGTAGACTATCCCCTGGCCAAACAATGAAAGGACCCTCTGGGATCTATTTTGAACTACTGTTTTCTTCATATGAGATTTATTATGCATTTATTTGTAGAAATGAAAAAGCCACTATATGTATCTTTCAAACCTATAAATACAAGACTGAATATACAGTCATAGGTAAAACTTACAGGTCAAATTACACAGCTTGTTTATTTTCTATAAGTTTACACATCCTCTACAGGAAACAAACTTTCTTTCCAATATGTTAAATTCAGAAAATATACAATAATTGCACATTATAATGTGAAGTGTGTTCTTTATAGAGGACATGTTAAGTTCTTTGCACTTAGAAAATCAACAACACGTAATTTGACCTCCAAAATTCTTGCATACGACTGTACACGGCCAGGTTTCTGTTACTTCAGTCACTTAAGAAATGCATTTCAAATATTTACACCACCAACCTTCCCTCTTTAACACCTTCTTGTTTGTTCAAACACATTTAAAAAGCATGTCTTACTCTCAGTGGACCTGATAATAATGGCAAAACTTTAAGAAATGAGCTACAATTGGCAGCAGTTTGGGGTAAAGGCCAACTGACTAAATGGCTAAGACCCCAAAAGGCTAACAGCCCAACAAGCTAACAGCACAATAGGTAATAGCCCAAAAGGCAATTAGCCCAGTGGCCTAAAACAAATTCAGAAGCTAAAATAATCAATATATTTACATTGTTGGGTAGTTGGGTTCTTCTAATGTATGGCATGCCTGGGATATACAGCACAGAGTGAACAGTTATTGCTCATAATAATATATTTGTGATAGATATGTGATTTGCTGCTATAACTACACAATTTATTTCAAGATCAATACACATTTCTACTTATCTTAAAAAAAAAGTCCAAGAGGCCAACAGCCAAACAGGCTAACAAGTCAACAGCCCAACAATAAGGCTAACAGCCCAACAGGCCAACACCTGAAAAAGTCCAAAAGTCAACAGTCCAACAGCCAAACAGTCCACTAACAGTCCATTAGCTCAACAGTCTAATAACCTAACAAGCAATCAGCCTAACAGTCCATTAGCTCTACAGTCTCAAAAGGCTGACTACTAACACTCCAACAGCCCAACAGTCCAAAAGGCTGACCACTAGCAGTCCAACTGCCTAAAAGGCCAACAGCCTAACAGTCCATTAGCTCTACAGTCCCAAAAAGCTAACTAACACTCCAACAGCCCAACAGTCCAAAAGGTTAACCACTAGCAGTCCAACTGCCTATAAGGCCAACAGCATAACAGTCCATTAGCTCTACAGTCCCAGAAGGCTAACTACTAAGACTCTAACAGCCCAACAGTCCAAAAGGCTAACCACTAGCAGTCCAACTGCCTATAAGGCCAACAGCATAACAGTCCATTAGCTCTACAGTCCCAGAAGGCTAACTACTAACACTCCAACAGCCCAACAGTCCAAAAGGCTACCCACTAGCAGTCCAACTGCCTATAAGGCCAACAGCCTAACAGTCCATTAGCTCTACAGTCCCAGAAGGCTAACTACTAACACTCCAACAGCCCAACAGTCCAAAAGGCTAACAATTAACAGTTCAACAGCCCAAATGGCTAACAGCCTAACAGGCCATTAGGTTTACAGTCCAAAAGGCTAAAAACTAACAGTTCAACTGCCTGATAGGCCAACAGCCTAACAGTCCATTAGCTCTACAGTCCCAAAAAGCTAACTACTCCTAGCTCCTCACACACGCTGACACCATCACCTCAGCCGACCAAAATAGAAGCTGCGCATGAATTCAGGCAGCTAGCTTATAATAATCACTAGAACCCGTTATACAGAACCACACAACAAACTGCGGTCTCATAACAAACCACTGACCTAAAAACACGAAACTTCTGACAGACTAACTACTAAACTTAACTTACAGGTTACACTGAACTTAAATCCTGCGCTGATCCGCCACCGTCCAACTCTGCTAGCCTAACTCTGCGTTATTACTGACTTATTAGCCTTAGGATGGAAATAAAGGGAAACTCAGCACGAAGTTTGATCGTATAAGAAAACGAACTCACAGTAAACTTTATGTTCCTGAGGTTGGGGGTCGCAGGAAGGGGCAGACACCTGTTTTAAAGTGTTTTAGCCAAGTTTTGGGCACCACATGCTGCTCCGGAGCTTTATCACATCATCCGCTAGAATGGCTCGACCAGAGAGAGAGAGAGAGAGAGAGAGAGAGAGAGAGAGAGAGAGAGAGAGAGAGAGAGAGAGAGAGAGAGAGAGAGAGAGAGAGAGAGAGAGAGAGAGAGAGAGAGAGTGTTTGGCTTTCTTTACCCAAGCTAGTCTTTAAAGTACTTCTTCTTCTTCTTCTTCTTCTTCTTCTTCTTCTGCTTCTTCGAGCAAAAACTCCACAGAAGTTCCTCTCAGCAATCCCACCACCAACAACAATCACGACCATTCATCGCGGAATGGCAGGAATGTTCCCACAGCTCCAGCTGAACCAGCCCCAGGGTCCTAACGCCCCGTGGTCCTCTCTGAAAAGCCCCCACTGCTGGACTTGACCGCCTCCAGCTTTGCAGCGGTCATCTAGGTCCAGCTGGACGTCTCAGAAAAGAGCAATGTCCAGCCCTGCTTCTGAAGATCTAATCTGCGTCCCAAATTGCACAGTGAGACAAAATAGCCCAGAAAAAACAACTAGCATGCTGTGTCTAAAACCTTTTTCTCTCCTTTATTTTTAACGTGTTAAAAGACACTCATTTCACTCCATTTTTAGATTTACCATTGTACTCTGCACTCACTGAAAGACACTGTAGGAGCAGTGGTGCCCAGTTTGGCCTCTGAGGATGTTTAATTGAGAGAACAAACATATTTTAATACTATATGTTATTTCTATCTTTTACGTATATTAGTAATAAAAATATAGCAGAATGTTGTCAATAATTTTTTTCATTAACTCAATTTTAATGTTCTGGGTGTTGGTTTTATATGTTAATGAGCACTACTCTCACGCACACCTAAAAAAGA